CATAAAATTTAACGCTAACGCTAAGTTGCGTAAAACATACGAGGTGTGAACGAATCGCACACAGCCAGAAATACCAAGAACCATAACATGTATTTTCTTGTGAGAATTGCTTGCGACTACAAACTTTACAAATTGTTTGGTAACTATATGCGGATATCATCTTTCTATTTGTGGGTTTTCCTTCATTACATTTGTGAATGAAATACGTAGCCACTTACGAAAATAATTGGGGTCAAGGAATAGAGACCCCAAAGTTAGAATAGAACGTTTTTATGGGGATAGCTTTTTTTTTTTTTTTTTTTTTTTTTTTTTTTTTTTACAAAACGTTGTGGCAAGATTTTATTACTATAGTTAGGTAGATTGACTTGAGGGGCGCGGATAGGCAGTTGCACAGCAGGCTGCGTTGTGTACAGGATTAATGCAAGCAAATGCGGTAAAAATCGAGAAATTGTCCGAGTGCTTGAGAGCCCTTGCTTTATTTTCGGGGTTAGTGCATTAGGGTACGTCAAGAATACATAGTTGATTCGTCAATAACACATAGTGAGCGGAGAGCGTCAGACTTGCAAAAAAGTTCATTTTTATAAAACTATCAAAAAGGAAACTTCTCACAATATATAATATTATTTAAATGTCAAAATTATTTACAATGATTCTCACTAGTTGGTTAAATAAAAATATATGGTTATGCTAGGTTAGTCACTTATATATTATATTCATCACATACCGAATCCAAATTAATTATCCCTTTCCTTATTTCGAACCATCTATTATCATGTTAACTAGTTGAATCCTGACGATTAATTATTAGGATCTTAAAGATGGTAAAAAATAAATATATCCATTCGGTTTATATGATTGAAGCTGATTACATCAAATCTATCAATCCATCAAATCCAATTTAACGGAATTACCAGGCTGACGTTCCTTGACGTACGCATTCTTGACGTACCCTAACCTCGAAAAACAAAACAGGTTAAAATTTTCTGCTGTGCTTGAGTAACATATCTAAATCGGCCGGGAGGTATAATAACAATGTCTTTCTGTATTATCTTTTTAAAAACACCTTACATATTGTATTTAAACAATACCACCATTATTGTTTTCATTTATCTTTACTCCAAAAGGCTGTTTTACTCTATAATATATATATGTACATATGATACCATGTTTGGACGTTCAGATATATAAGGTTATCAATAGGAGATGATAAATGAACAAGTCAGACCAGAGAAACGGATAAGTAAAAAACCTTTGATATAAAGGTAAAGATAAATCTCAACCAGATTTATCTTATCTATATTCTATTATAAAATTGGTCTTGACAGCGAATATTCTGCAGATTTCGCACTCCACAATCGTCCGCAGTTTTATGGATAATCCTCGGAATTTTTTTTTCTTAATAAAATAGAGGACGAACGGAAAGGCTCGTGAGGAACGAAAAATAAACTAATGGCTTATCAGATACTGATTTAGGGTATGCCGAATATATAATGCTCGTAAAAGACAAGATTGTCCTGTTTATAAAAAAAAAAATAGAATCGTATATATCGTTTAGTGATGCTTCTATTTGATCATTGATCCATAGGCACATATTAATCTCTTTACTACGTCGATGTCATTTTTTTCGAAAGATCAGTGATATTTATAAAAACTTGGTGATTATAAAATTAAACTAAGACAAATCCATTTGTTTATTACAATGCAAAGGAAATGAATGATTTCTATTCTGCCTGATTTATCATGTATTATTTATGTAAAACATTATAAAACATTCAATATTTAACTTAGTCAATCAATATTCAAACCCCCAATCGCTCTACCCCCCTTTTTGAGCTTGTACCATATACTGAGTACATACTGCATTATTTTTTACAATATTGTAAAACTTAGTATTTGCAATAAAAAGGGCCGCGAACTCTTTTGCTCTCCTGGCCCTGCATTGTTGTTCGCTCATTAATTGAGTTTTGGTCTGAACTATTCGCGTCATTTCACTAAGGTAGTTTTGTTTTAATTAGTAGTTTATTACAAATTAACCTACTTGCAACTTAATCTTATGTCTTCTTGAACCCGCTAACCTTTGTCGTCTTTTCCTATCAATTTTTAGTCGTCAGCAAGTGTATTGATCTCTTCGCTGTCTTCTTTATTCTTCCTTTCTCTGCAGCTGCTGCATTACCACAATTGCATATATGCCTTATTGTACATAGCAACAACCTTTTACTTCCATTTTTCAAGCAACAAATTAATATTACAAACAATAGAATTTTAGCATCTTATAAACTTTTAACCCCATTTTGCACACAAGCATCTACAAACATAGTCTCCTCTTTTCACCAACTCATTATTAAAAGTATTTGTTTTTGTGCCCTGGCATGCTGTTTTTGTCTTTGGGCACTACAATTTAACATTCTCAATATTCTAATTGTTTTATTTCGAAGCATTCAATTATCACCATTGGCACGAAATTCCAAAAGTTTTTTTTTTACAAAATTCTACATCTTCGGCATTTCCAGTAGAGCTGTTGTTTGCCTCCAGAGTATTGGTTATTCAGCATCCCCCTCTTACACTTTATACTTTCTCTCCGGCTTGTTCCAACATCTTTTGCATATAGCTATTTCCTTTTTTTTTCTGTACATATAATTCCTTTTTTCGCTTCACTATTTAGTATTTACCTTCCTTCTCATTATAATCACTTAATTTCATTATGATAAACGAAGAGATATCTACAATCTTTGTCGTCGGTTTTCCCGACGACATGCAAGAAAGAGAATTTCAGAACATGTTCATCTTTTCTCCTGGCTTCGAGGCTGCTACTTTGAAGATTCCGCAAAAGGATTCGTCGGATGATGATGGGCCTGCAAATGGTAACAGCATTGGAAACGGTAATGGAAACGGAATTGTTAATGGCAGCAACGCAAGAAAACAAATTGTACGTCGAAATATTTATATCATTGTTATAGGATTTTATTTTCTCAATGAATTTCTTTTATAAATCAGAATGTTGAATTTTTAGTAATGTAAATATTTTATTTCATTATTTTTACATTTAGATTGGGTTTGCAAAGTTCCGTACTAAGCTTGAAGCCCTTGAAGCTCGTGATATTCTAAGCGGAAGAAAGGTTGATGCCGAAAAAGGGTCGGTTCTTAAGGCCGAAATGGCAAAGAAAAACTTGCACACTAAACGTGGTCTTCCTGGTGATCAAAATACCGCTTATCCTCTCATATCCCCAACCAAACGTTTTCCAACTCCGAGTAATATCAATACCGCTAATGCTACCTATGAGGCCTTCTATTCTGTTCCTCCTCCTCTCGCTCCTCCGCCCTTACCAAGTGATCTTCTTTCCCCTCAAGATTATGGTTATGATTTTTATTCTGATGTGAGTGTATATACTCCTACAACGCCTACAACCCCTGTGTTCCCTGATCAAACACCTTTCTCTTCTTCGACTCGTGGTTCTTTTGATGCTGCGAATGGTTTGGTTGGTGCTCCTTCACGTCCTCGATATATTACTACTAATAGTACAAAGGGAATCTTTGATAATGAAGATATTAACTACCTTTCAAAATCTAACCCTGTTGAAATTGTTTCTAAAACCGTAAAGAATCCAACAAATGGCTTTAATTCTGTTTTGCTTGTGAATGAAGACTTGCCACTCGCAATGTCTCAACTGTCCATTAACACTTCAGCTGTTCCTCCATCCGTCGTCTCCTCGTCTCCATCAGTCTCTTCTCCTGGTTTTCGTCCTCCAAATCCGGCTGACCAAAATCCTCCCTGTAATACTCTTTATGTTGGAAACTTGCCAATGAATACTTCCGAAGATGAACTTAAACAATTGTTCTCTCGTTGTCCTGGTTATAAACGTATGTGTTTTCGAACTAAACAAAATGGTCCCATGTGCTTTGTTGAATTCGAAGATGTACATTATGCCACTCAGGCAATGAATGAACTTTACGGTAACCCTCTCAGCAATTCCGTAAAGGGCGGAATTCGTTTGAGTTTCTCGAAGAACCCGTTAGGTGTACGTAGTAGCAATAATGGCAATGGACTTAATAGTTTTAATGGTGAAAGACGAGGTTCTACATATAGCTTAACCGATCGTAGAGATTCTACTTTCAGTTTGGAACGTCGGGACAGCACATACAGTTTAACTGATCGCAGGGATTCTTTTAGTTTGGAAAGGCGTGATTCTACTTTTAGTTTTGGAAGCAGTTCTGGTCCTACTTTTACTCATGCAGAACGATTTAATCTAGATCGTAGAGATTCTTTTTTAGCGTCTGAGAGGAGGGATTCCTTAAGGGATCCCTTTTTCCCGCCCGAACGAAGGGACTCTTTTTCATTTGATCCTCAATTGGCATAATCAATTTTTGGTCAACTTCAATGAACTTAATTTTTAATCTTCCTTTGTCTGTACGAAGGACTTATGTTTTTACTGTTTTCGCGCATATATCATACTTTTCATGAAGGACAATGGAAAATAATATCCGTATAATCAACGCATATCTCATCTAGATTTTTGCAAACAGAATTGTCATGAAATTCTAAAATCATATAAATCGAACTTTTTATTAACTATAACTACATTTCTTTTTGTTTTTTTCCTTTAATCAAATTGTTTATTTTTTTCTGTAAATTTGTTTTTTTAGGTTACATTTTTCCTTTTATTTCCCTTTGCATATGTTTCAAAAAAAAAAAAGATCAATAAAAATTTGTAGAAATCACAAAGGTTGATTTTTCAAAGTATTGATTCTGAATTTATTATTATCTGTCTATTTAAATTCAATAAAATGAAATATAAAATAATGCCATGAATGTATATCGATTTTTGCTAAATCGTATGAAATATCGAACATTTATAACATTCCTCTTATTTTCATAAAACCACCATTATGAAGATGTTTACTAATATAAATTACAAATATATTATTCAAATCTAATAGAAATTCAATATATCTAAATATATGTAGCAACGCATTCAGGATATTTGGATGTATGCAAATATAAGTTAAAACACTGGTGAAGAAACGATGAATAAGTTTTCTTCTTCCTTTTTTATCCATCTTAGCAACGTATGAGATGAGGATGTCAGTGCAGACTTCGACATCAGTGGACCAAATGCAGCGTAAAGCTCAAAGCTACAAGTTATCTGAATTTATTCAAAAGAAAAAATATAAGTTAATATATAACTAAATATTAAATTTATAACCAAAACCATGTATTAACATACCCATCCTAATATTGTTTCGGTGGAACTAACGTAATAATGAACTTTAAGAGGTCTCAAGCGCGAATGCATTCGGTCATGAGTGTAACGATATAATTTAAATAACCTAGAGTTATTAATTATTTATAATCTTAGTAAGAATCATCAGATAGTTATAGAATATGACATTTGATATCTCACTTTTGTTTTTCTCGAGGGTCATTATAAGGTGAAACAAAAGTCGGTGAAGTATACTGTACATGCGTCCTCGATTTATAAATAAAATGACGCAAACCTGGAACACCTATATCGGCTAATTAAATGGACAAAATAAACATCAATAAGCAGAAAGTTTTACTATGTCAAAAGATATAACTTAGTTACCAATAGAGTAGCCTTCATTTTGTGATGCCTCTTCAATTTCTTGCAAAGCATTGCAAGCAGACAATTTCTATATAAAAAAAAAAACAACCCATTTTTCCCAAAATTACAATAACCAATGCAAATAATTCAAGCAGTATAGCATATAAATATATATGTTACCTCCTTTAAAAGGCTCTTCGCCTCAGAAAATTCGAAAAATTTATCTTTATCTGGTGATATAAACAACAAGCATACGTTTGTGACAATATAGCATACATAAGCATGAAGAAAGCCTTTATTATTAAATTTTGGAAGACAGATAGGTGTCCATGACTCGACTGATTGAAAAGTCGAAGATCCATTAACCATATTGAATACCAAGTGAAGGTCTAATAAAACAAAATATAGCCGTCATAAAGATTATTCACCGAATTATATAAAATCGGATTCTTTACTCACCTGCTGGATGAAGGCTATGTTTCTTCGGTCTAAGCAGTGTTATTAACTTATTATTCGTTATCAACATGGCATACAAAAGTTCCTGTAACAAAATGATATGCTGAATTCAGTATTTGATATAAGCCGAATGAATACATAAAGCACGTTATAATCACCTTGGATTTTATTAATTGCATTATACCTCCTATTTTATCGCGTAAATCTTTGCACATTTTTACACACTGGATTGAACTAAGTATAAAACCCGGGTCATCACTCATTGTAGAAGCAAGATTATCCAGAAACGGTTCGGTTCCTAAAGCGTTTTAATTAGAAAATGAAAGTTAACCCAAACAAAATTTACGTATTATACATCTACCTCCAAGCAATCGACGCAGATCAAAATTAACTCGATGTTCAAAAATCTTTGTCAACTGTGTCGAGGTCAACACGCTTATGATCTGATTATATAAGTAATTCAGCTGATCCCTAAGCTACTCGAAAAAGTCCAATATTTTTAACTTGATAATATTATACAAGTAGAATAATTAAATTTTATTTTATTTTATTTAATATATACCTGCATTTCAGATTCGTTTGTTCGTGAAACAGCAACAAGATATAAGGGCCCTTTTAGCAAGAACACTAGTTTGTGTTGACCAGCGTTTATGCATCTACATAATAATATGATAAATTTAAATAACGAATAGAGTATTGTCAATTTTTGATTCAGCAAAAGACCTTATTGTGTCATCAGCATCAGCAAAGAATGAAACGATAGCCTGAATTACACCCATATAACTTGAGATACGTGATTCGTCACCATATCTTTGGAAAAAAAAATTAAAGAGATCAATTTATTATATTAAATTGACAAATACAAGTAGAGAACTTTTTGTGATCTTACCGAGTGTAAATCGGTTTTCCAGCACTACTTAGGATAAAAAAGTGTTTCCTATGCTGCGACCAAGTCATAGACTGGGGGTCTTTATAGATTAATAAAGCTGATCAGCTAAGGATTTACCAAATTTGCAACATTGTATGCCTAGATTTTTTTAGCAAACACCTTCGACCTTCATTTCCATACTTGCGCCGGTAACCTGAATATTCTTTATCGTCTGTAATCGCGGAGATATCATTTCTTGAAACTATGGATTCACTATGATCCAAAGGAACGTCAGAGTCTTGAGGAAAGTTTTAAAGATATAATGTATTAATATTTTAAATTTATAATATTAGAGTAAGTATCGGACAAAAACCAAGTACAAGCATACTTATACAAATATCTGGTTGGTCTAACTCTTCTTCCTCTGAAGGATCTTCTTTTGGCAGCTTAATATTACTAGATGATCTCTTGCCGATTTTGACAGTATGAAAAGGGGAAATTGTGGATCGTTCAGAAGACGTAACTGGATTAGATCTGCTTATTATGCCCAAAAGAAAATCTGCACCAGTGTCAACCTTATTTGAAGCTGCATTAAAGCTCTTTATTGACGATCCAGAGGAGGAAGAGCTGTAAGCGTCAAACGAAAGCTGTGTGGTCGGCCTGGCTTTTAACCTCCGTTGAGGCTGTATAGTTGGTGACAATGGCTCGTCTGAAGTAAGAACGCTGTTGGAATCAGAAAGAATTTCCTCCATGATTGGTGACATTTGTGACGAAAGACAATAGGCTTCGAGTAAAGTAACTGACGTATAATTTTCAGGCATGTATGTTACACGATAATAGAATATTGGACGGTGAAAAACATGTGATGCTTCCCATCATTTCAGCCAATACTGATACTACAATAATAAATTGAGATCAGATGTAAAAAAAAAAAAAAGATAGATTATCCATTAGCGTTAGCGTTAGGTGTTCTGTTAACTACCATATATGTTGATCAAAACTGTTACTTTTTTTTTGAATTTAAGATAAATGCGCCAAATTGCATTGTCACATTAAGTTAAGATTGTGGTACATAGGAATTTTCATTTTTGCAATGAGATTTATTCACATGATCACTTTATCGGCTGCGGCCAGGGACAGTGAAAAATATAAATTTCGCTGGCCAATCAAAAAAAAAAGTTCAAGAAACAAAAATAAGTCAATAACTCAAAATTTTGACTTCAGCATACTAATAAAAAGTTTTCCTTGCAAAATTTTGGTATAAACATAGCCTTCTAAACCCAACTCACTAGCAATACCCTAAACCTAACCTAAGAGCAAAATGTTTTTTTCTTAGAAATTTTTTTTTAATGGGATCAATATGCGAAATTTTTTAGACTAGTCCCATAGTTCAGGTTGGCAAATTTGTGTTGTCCGGCCCAAATTATACACTTAATTTTGCCCGAAGTGGTATTGTTACACCGCATTAAAATATTGATTTCGCCTGGCTGCGGCTAAATGGGATTTTTAACAGCTAAATTCGGAAATTTCACCTGACACGAAATTTTTGACCTCATCGTCATGCTTTCAGTTTTTCTATTATGGCAACACTATCACCCGAAATACTTGCTCGCTTCGAAAACATAAATAAACGACAACTCGAGCTAGAAACAAAAGTTACTCAACTAAAGAATGTAATCGCTTTAACAACTCAACAAGAGTTGTATACAGAAATTAGAGATGGTGTGAGGGAACTCGAGAAATGGATAGAGGTGAATGACGACGTATTTCATATTTATAGCTTTTTTCTTTTTTGTCTATGATAGGATATATATCTGAATTTACTTTACAGGACATCAAACAAACAGCAGACGAACAAGAGCGTGAAAAAAACAAACAAACTATTTTACATAGGTTACAAAGGAACGAAGAACAGTACAAACAGTAGGTTGAGATTAAAATATATTTTTTTAAATTTTTATCCTCATATAAAACAATGCGTCTTTTTAGGTTACAAGCTTCAATTCGGCGAGCTGTTTTGACATCTAAGCAAAATATTGAAAGGGAGGCGAAAATAGAACGCGAAATGTTGTTAGGGCGTGTTGATGGACGAAATTCATTTGCTTTTGAAATGCGAAGACGTAATTTCACGTTAGTATATCTATTTGTATTTTTCCTAAACACAAATTTTCACTGATTTATTCGAAACTATATTTAATCAGATCAGAAGATGCACTTTTGCATTCAGCTAGTGATGTTACTGATGCATTACGACGCACTACTCAATTAATGCAACAAGAGATTGAACGTAGTGCATACTCAGCGAAAGTACTTGGTGAGAAAACCTATAATATTATTTATAATGACAATTTATACTGTGAATTTAATGATTTTTATATTTAGACGAGTCATCTCGCGCACTAAAATCCACTTACAGCGAATATCGAGGATTTTCATCAGTTTTGCGTGGCTCTAAACAATTAATTACCAAATTAGAACAGATTGACTGGACAGATAGGCTACTTATTTTATTTGGTCTATTAGTGTTTGTCTTAGTTGTGTTATATGTTCTGAAGAAAAGAGTGTGGAACACTGGTTTTGGCTGGATGTCATGGTTCGCCTCTTGGGTTATTTAGAAGCAATCAGCCTTTAATGTAAATACACTGTGAATGTAGACAATTAAATTGGTATGCTTAAAGATTATTAATAAGGTTAAATATAATTTTCAAGTTTTATCATCAGCATTTGTAGAGTTCCAGATTATATATGTTGATTTCTCTGCATCTACAACAAACCATTCTCCAAAAATGATCGATCGGATATCCATTTACTATTGATATCCAAATAATCCGGATAATGACCCGGATCCAATAGACAAGATAGGAATTCCGTGCATGTGATTTCAGCCAATTGGATTGACGTCTTTTAAAAAATCGCCGGAAAATTTTTTGTGGGTGGTTGGTTAAAGACAAATGCTATTAACTCAAAATTTTACCTATGAAACTGCCTTCTGCGTTCTAATAAAAAAATTCCTCGTGAAATTTTAGTATAAACTATGCCCTTTTTCATCTTTAAAATCTTTTCACTTAATTCGATATAATTGGCTAAAAATCACGTGCCCGGAAATATATTGTGGGTGAGTGGGGCATGCCCATAGGCATGTTTATACTTAAGAAAATGTCATGTGATTGGTTAATTTTTGTTGTGATTATATATGATAATTAACCAATCAAAGTATATAATTTTTTAATATTGGAAATAAAAAAAACCAAAAAATTACTAATCTTTTTAATTTATACAAATATAGTATTAAACAAATTTAAAAGTTATATTAAACTAACTACTGTAATCTAAAAGTACCAATTTAACAATAAAAATAAAATATCAAACATACTAAACATCTAAATCTATATAAAAAACTAGTATTTAACAAATTAATTTTTTTCAATCTAATATATAAGACATAAAGGTATTAAAATCTATTTAATTAACAGTAATAAAAGTTTTTTATAGAGGTTTGATGACCTAGTGAAGTGATCAGGTTGTCAACCTCCAAAGTAGTAAGTTGGGTGTTTAAATCTTATTGACAGTGAAAATTTGAATAATCACCTATGTAATATTCATATTATGGTAACTGTTACTAACAATTGGATTAGAATACTTGTAATAGCAGTCATACCAACATGACTGGCAGGTTATAGAGCATCTGTGCAATGTTGGAGTTACACGGAGGAATGCAAACTGACAAATCAGGTAATATAAACATTAGATAAGTCCTTGTAGCTATGTAAATTTATTAAAATTGGGTAATAAGAAGTCTATTTAGAAAGACCCGAATAGAAAGATAACTAGATCTTCGACAATTCTACAGTAAAGGCTAGCCTGACGAAATGGATACTAAGATCTAGTATTTGGTTGTAGTAGTTGGATGAGCAAGAACCTCTGGGTTGGAAGTCTTGAAGGTATTACCAACTAGATCATCAGAATGAACTGAAGAAAAAGAATATCAGGTTGACCTGATATACCGATAGACTGGTTATAGTTCTACATGGGCTATCTGGATTGGAAGTTTGGCAAAAAGGCAGGAGAAAAGGCATGGGTATACTAAAGTACTAGAGTTATGTTGTAAAATAGATGTTAAAGTCTAAATAAATTTTACAAGAGCATAGCAATTTAATAGTTAACCCTAACTGCAAGTGTTAGTTTTGTTATAACAATACCTAGGTTAGTTGTAAAAATGAGTACAGAAGACTCTAAGGGGTTTACCTTAAGAATAAATTAGGTCTAAGGTTGAGATGATGATCTGAACATCTGGATATAACTCAGTGAGTTAATATAGGTTACAGTTTCAGAGTGTTTAAATTGTAACACCTAAGCAGAAGTATTAGGTATGACAACTTTCAGGCGGATTCCTTAAATAGGTAATATAAAAAAATTACACATGTAACCAATTGTACTCTCTCCTTTTTTTTTTTTTTTTAAATATTAAGGTAAGTATTTGTGACTCAGGATTTTATTGATAGTATATTTGGCTAATAATTGTTTTACAATCACAGAAGATAACTATGAAGAGAGTGTACAACTAGCCACTCATACAACTTTAGTCATTGTTTAATGGATAGGAGCACACTGTACTACTGGTAGTACATTGTACTACATTGTGACAGTTTTTAAAAGTATTTATCTATTGATTAAGTAAGCCACTTGATCTCATATTATATAATTGTCTTTTTCTTAAGTAGATGATTACGTACAACCAGTTACATCACATATTTTGTGCAGAAAATTCACTTGTGGCTGAGATTGATCAGTGGCATTAAGCTAAAATAAGTCAATCTCAATTGCATGCATTTAACTAAGTAAAGTTTAGTGAAAATGATGTAATAGATGATTAATAAGTAAATTAACAAAAGCCTCTAAGATGTAGCTTGGCTTTTTCACAATTTTTTTTTTCCCATTATCATTATTAAAAAATTTTTTCATATAAAGAGGATACTGATACAAGAAAAAAAAAAGTGGTCAATAAAGTGTAGTTAAAAACTTTCATATTAAAATACTAAAATACTTACCCAACAAGCCCAAAGTTCTGTTGCAAAGCATTATTACGGACATAATATAGTTCGTGGCAATCTTTTTTTTCTCATTTTTTTTTTTTTTTTTACAATTTTTTTTTTTTTTTTTTACAATTTTTTTTTTTTATACAATTTTTTTTTTTAAAAAAAAATTTTTTGATGGCACATACATTGCATATTAGTGAAGGTTCAAAGGTAACTATCTTGGGATCAGTTATAGAGGTAATAATTGCTCGTCCACTCTTTGGAAACAAGTGAAAAACCAAACGACTACCCGCCACAGTACTACGAAGTGTATCCGGTAAAAATCATTGGATAATCAGTTTTGATGACAACCTAGAGGTAGAATTTGAAGCCTCGGCAGCCCGTATGAAGTTCGTAAGCAATAAAAATAATCTTCACAATGAAGATAATGATATATTAGCTGAGTCAGCCGTTAGTAAACCTGAGACGGACATTTCAAGTTGTAGTGAACAAAGTCAAGATGAAGAAACTGGCATTAGGAATGAAAGTGAAAATTTATAGTGCGATTCAATTGTAACAGTTGATTCTTATCGGGTTAATAATTCTTATTCAAATGCAACAGTTGTGCATGTTGCTGATATTATCAATGCATCCCCAAGACAATTTTTTGAACGATTTTTACTAATTGAATATATTTTATCAACAGTTATACCATTGATGAACAAGTGTACATGTGTCAGTGAATGTGTTTAGAAAAACTTGACCTGGGTGGAATTTATGCAGTTTATTGGAGTTTTAACAATTATAACCTATGTGCAGTGTGCTGATAAATGGGATTATTGGTTAGTTAAGCAGGAAACAGGTGGTGTTGCATTGGGGTTTGGGCAATATATGTCACATTGATGATTTCAGGATATTATCAAGTATTTGATGTTAACAGATGTATTAGAGAATAATGATCCTTTTGATTTTATTCATAAGTTTCATGATGCATTTAATGAAAATCTTTCAAAGGCAATTATGCCTGGTGATTATTTATATATTGATGAGTTAATGTGTCAATAGATAGGCAAAGTGGATAAAGGTCTGTTTCAACGTAAACTACCAAGAAAGCCCCATCCAATTGGTTGTGAATTTAAAATTGTGGCTGATGCATGGGTTAATTTGTTTTTACAATTAGATCCTATAGAGCCTTCAGCATATGCTAATAAAAAAAAATTTTCAAATTAATATTCACCAACAATTGCAACTATGTTATGATTGACTGAACCATAGTTTCATAGTGGTAGGATGATCATTGCAGACTCGTAGTTTGGAACTGTCGATGAATATGTTACACTATACAAATATGGTTTTTACTCTATTTTACAATTAAAAAAGCATCGCTATTGGCCAAAACATATTCCACATGATATAACAAGTGCACTTAGAGAAGATTATGGGTTATTTATTAGTAGAACAAGAAAATTTGATGGTGTCGATCTTTCTGTATGTTCAATTCGTGATCGCAAGAATATTGTAGTTCTTGCTAATTGTTCCACAACAAATCCTAAAACAGAAATAAAAAGATACATTAAAGATATTGGCACAGTAAAATTTCAATGGCCCATTGTTTTTGATGAATTTAATGAATATCGATCTGCTGTAGATATACTCAACAACCTGCATGACAATGCTCTTTCCTACCATAATGTTCTTATCACAAAACATTTTATTAATCAAATTTTTGCTTTTTATCTTTCAGTTGTGGAGGCGAATAGCTATTCTGCATACTGTCACTTTGTACCAGAAAAAAAAAAATACAAAGCATATAGACTTTCATAAGCAGTTAGTAGCTTCTATTTTTGATGATTATTCTAGTAAAACTATCGGTAAAAGAACCAAAAAAAGAAAAAGGTTGGAGTCAGATATTGTTGAGCACATGCTAATTAGTCTTTAGAGTATTTCTGCTACTTCACGGACCTCAAAAAAACATGTTTAATGTCATTGCTTAAGATGTCATAATCGTATAACCACTTGTTGCAGTTGCCAGGTAGAATGGGGTATATGTACAATGTGCTAGGCTTATCACGTTCATGATATGTATAGTAGTGTGTCACAAGGTAATATTTGTATTTGTTTATACCTACTCTATTTTTGTTTAAATGCGTGGCTTATAATTTTTTTATCTGGAGATCACCAAAACCTTTTAATTGTGTACTACATGTAGTACACTCATGAATGCTGAATAATGCATATCTTTAACATTATATAATTTTGTTAATTATATAATAAATATTAAATAAAAATAAATAAATTTATAAAGCAATATATGATCATTTTATAAATAAAATTTTTTTTTGATTTGTTGATTTTTGGGCTCACTATGAGTTTTATAAAATGTGCTACTGGTAGTACAAAGGGTGTGCTCCTATCTATTAATTTAAGTAGTTCACTCAAAGGTTCTATACTGGCTGCTATACCTAAACCCACTTATAGGTTTCTTATTTAACTACTCTGTTTCTGTATTGTATCCATCCATCTATCTCTGCCTACCAACGACTCCGGCCGATGCTAATAAAAATATGCCATGGCCACTAAGTCTTTAAAACAATTCTTTGAAACCTTTGACTTTGTACTAAATCTTTCAAAATCTTCTGTATTCTATTTTTATAGTTGATCTGGTATTACTATGATTGAAACTAACACTGGTGGTCAAGGTGTATCATTAAACCGCTATGTCCTTGTAGAGTTTATCCCAACTCCAGTACTTATTTCACAACATATCCTTACTACTTTGATATTTAATTCAAATTTCACTAAGCTGCTATTCCAGATAGCTCAGAAAGGTAGGTTGAAATTATCACCTCTGGTTTATATATTTGCCAGTATATATCTTTTTCCTCTGGAACCTGAAAATTTCGGTGGCCTGGTTGGTTCATTCAGTCTCT